ACAGGATCGGGAACGTTGGAAGCTTCGTCTGACGTGTATGCCTCCGCGACCCGGAAGAAGCGCGATGGAAGATGAAGATGAAGAAGACGAAGTATCAGATGCTTCTCGCATCACCTTATAGCCTGGCGATTTGGCACTCAACATGAACAATGTTTCAGGAGCTGGTGCTTGTCCTAGGGGCATAGATGCATACAAATTTTTAAATGGGATTCAATTTACGTCGTTAATTGTAGAGAAAAGATTTAAACCTAAGAGACCTATGGCTTTTTATGCGTACGTATTGTGTACATATCCAACATATTGTGTTCTGACTCTCAAATATTATACATCGGCCTATGGCAAACGTTTTGTTTGAACATTGGGCAGTAAACGAGGTTCACTTTTGTATAAAAATAAATGACTCCGGTAATCGGCCAAAATTGATGCATTCGTTTGGACCGTCTTGCAAACTGCTGCTTTCAGCCTACGAATTACGCTAGCTTTCAGGCTATCGTAAACTCACCTGCTCAGTCAAGAATGGGATTTAAACCGAAATATGTAGTTTAAACCGCACAGCCGCTTTAAACTGTAAAGAATATTCAACCACTTCCAAAGTGCTGCGGAACAGAAAGATCTGATCGTGCCTGATAGTCATATTGGAGCCATCAAGATGTCACTTCCGCTTCAACGTCCTGAAGGCGGGGACGGTCAAGGAGTTCCAAAGTCTGACGCAGACGTTCCGGTTCAGCCCAGGGTGTCGAAGGATGTCCAGGATGCGGGGACAGGCGCACCCGAACCCCAAGCAGAAGAGAAGGCCAACGAGGAAGATGAGCGAAACAAACGTACCATCAACATGTACTCTGGATTTTATTGGCCCGAAGCACATGACTCCCATGCTGAGGTTCTTCCTCTCAGCACCTTTTTGGAGAAGTCACGAAAGAAGAAGGCACAAGCAGAAGCAGAGAAGGTTAATGATACGGTTGAAGTTGTTTTCTTGTTAACTTCTGCTGTTCACAGAAGGTCAAATTGGGAACCATGCTCGGCGTGTACCTGCCAACGATGCAGAACATTTTCGGGGTCATCATGTTTCTGAGATTGCACTGGATCGTCGGCGTGGCTGGACTGCCAGAAGGTTTTTTCATTGTCCTCCTGAGCTGCTTAGTAGTAAGTGATTAATGACATTGCAAAAATGTTGCAAGTGACACGGCAGGCTGAGTACTACGTAATTTTCTAATGACTTATCCCTCTTTCAAGATCCTGTAAGAACGGCAGTCGATCTCTTTATGAGACATGTGCTCTGGTTGTCGAGATCATCATAATCATGAATCGGTTGCTAAAGCAGAGCATCTCTGATTTGTGATGTCTGATGAGTTCTCAGTTTTACAACTTTCGCTATAACTCGCCGGTTAGTGCAACATTGAGGGAATAATTCTGTCAAACTTCGAATCTGCATTGTTCCTACACGTTGAATGCTGGACTCCTGGTCAACTTGTGCAATCTTTTAGCTCCCACTCGAGGAACTTCTGGACTATAGTAATTGGCTTATGCCTGAACAGTTTGTCTGACAGGGTCAGTCGCAGTTTATTAATTTCCACATCTATTAATGCTACCTATATACGGTAGAAAAGAGACTCAAACATTACCATTTGACAGTTATTATTTGTCGAATCCAGCGCCGATGTATGCAGTCGAACTTTCTTCATTTCCCCTCGTTAGTGCACCTGTTTTCACGCAATACAACATTGCTGACCTGAATATTGTATGGAGTCATGACACAGTCAGATTTCTGAGAAAAGAGCTACTATCTTCTCATTTCAAATATTAGCAACATCAATAAATCACTCGAGGCTACCTCGGTCTCTGCCTAACCCTGACTGGGTGGTAAAATCGCCGAGAAAGTTTGATCTGCCGGAAAACAATGGGATATTTTTATTCAAAAATAAATACTCTGCCGTTAATTTGCTTTGCTTGGTTCCGTTTCAT